ATTGTCTGCATGATCATTTCCAAAGTTGAACCGTGGACGTGGTACATTCCCAAACGTTTCGCCGGCATCCAAGTCCGCATCGTCAGTTTGTCTTGCCATTCTTAGCACCATACAACAACTCGTCAAGGAGACAAGTGAAACCGACACTGACCAAACGTGTGTTAAACAATTGTGGTATCTCCCATTCTGCCCTGGGTTATTCGCGTTTCCTCTATCCTCCTTACTATTACAATTTTTACCGTCTTTATTTAGATATAGTGTGATGTGCTCCTTTGAGCGACATGACACCTTCACACTCCAACTGTCGTTCTTACCCCCCTCCTTCATCCTTGTGCAGGGGATGTGCGCACCACACTATATCTAAATAAACACAGTAAAATTGTAATAGTGAAGGCATGATAGGATGCTACCGGAAACGCGAATAACCCAGGGCAGAAGGGGAGATATCACAATTGTTTAACACACGTTTGGTCAAAGTGTCGGTTTCACTTGTCTCCTTGACGAGTTGTTGTATGATGCTAAGAATGGCGAGACTCACTGACGATGCAGACTAGGATGCCGGCGAAACTTTTGGGAATGTACCACGTCTACGGTTCAACTTTGGAAATGATCATGCAGTCAATGGACTCCGGACTAGGTGCGTTCCTCTAAATCTTCCTACCAATATGACCATCTTGCGAAAACAAGGTAAAACAACCTCTATACAACAAAAGGAGACTGCGACCACATAAAAGGCCACACCATCTTATTCTTCATACCTTAGATAAAATTGGCATATTTCATGAAAATTAACACTTGGCATCTTGCCTCTCTGGAAGCAAGTCCCTCTTCTTCTTGAGGTGGACTTGAACATTATCTAATAAGCATTTGATTAGGTATACACCATCGACAAAAAAATATGGACTTCACTTTAGGTCTTGCTTGTTTTAAATTAGTACTCCTACAGGCCAAGAAACTAGGGTTCGTGGGGCAGTGGCTCAAAAGACTGGCCGATTTGCCTTATTTCTTTGTACTAATTCACAGAGTACATGATTTCGTCACGTGAACGGGTTACTGTATAATGCAGAAAATACAAAATATAATAAACTTAAAGGATTTCTTGAATCTTTTGATACGTTTTTGATGATGACTTTCATTTCATTAAAATATATCTGATGGAAAGAATCGTATGTTGATTCCTCACTCGGCCAGAAGTCATTTGTTATGCATCGATGTAGAGGGACTTTGAAGTTTCTAAAGGCACCTTTCTTCCTTTCAAGTAAAAATGTGCTGTACTGAAGGCAGCCAATTATATTGACAGATATTATCACCTGTTGAGCTCATCTTGATTTTGAGTGAATGCGTGCGATGCAGAGCTTCTTCCGTTGCTTGCACCTCTGGCCGAACATCTTTTAACTTTTTTTAAACGTTCTGGTTGACAATTTTAATGTTAACCTCCCTCGATTCAAGGAAACACTTGCTAAACTTTCATCTTTTATGCCACTGGAAATACATCCTCAGAGCTGGGTATCACTTTTGTAGTTGCTTCAAGCGAGTGATTCAGGAGTCACCGGCTCAATTCAGTACTCCAACCCCTAAATATTTGTGAATAACGGAGTTATTTGGTTAATTTGAAATGTTTGTTTTCGTGTTATTATATCTATGCACGTTTATTCCTATTTTCGGAACGATAAGAAACTTGCACTGATATCTTCAAGTAATTGGAACAGAGCATAACATCTGTGCCTGGTTCTCAAGTTTTAATGATCCTTTTTTTCAACAAGCACTCCGACCTCCTAAGGCCAGACTCTCGTTTGATTATTCAGTAAGCCTTTTTCTAGCTTTGAAGTATAATGAGTGTTACTGTAGTTAGAGACATAAATAAATGTACTAGTCAACTAGTCATCTTTTTACAGGCGACTCAGCAAATTTTCACTCCTTAAGTATGTTAGATAAGGACAAAGAATACCTAACCTTCTGCGGGAATTCATGAAAATCAAGTTATTTTGCAATCTAAGGATTTAAATAGTAACCATAATTGTGCCTTTATCTGCAGCTATATAATAAACAATGCGAATAATTTGAGACCATTATATTGCATGTCTAATTCTCTTTCCTGTGTTCAGGTTTCTCTTATACATAAGCCTAAAAAGCCTCTTCAGGCAATTTCGTGTTATGCTATACTTTTAGCTAATCCATCTTAAATAAGGATGACCTCGTGAGCAAATTAGTTTATAATATACTGAACAGAATAGTGCTCTTTTTTCTCTTTAAATGTCATAGTTTCCTTCCAAGCCAATTTTTCTGCATATAGAATTCATCAGTGCTGGACAGGCACATTTTCAGAGGAGCTAAAAGGAGTCTATGAAGAATTCCAACAGCCTTAAAGCCCCAGTAAAATATAACCCAGCATACAAAGGAGGGTGTACATTCGGGTTATTTTGAGCCTTCAATACGATTCCATATGCTATATAATTTCACACAAATTGAAGGCCAACCTATTTAAAGTGTAGTAAATAGGGAACTGAAGTGATAATTCAGATATTGCACTCAGTTGAAAAAAGAAAAATTCACTCAACTATATCTAAAATGCAAACTACACGAGTAAAAAGATAGAGGCTAATAGCAAGTACAAGTCATAGAAGAAAAATAATTTAGGATCAGCTTTTATTTTAAAAAATATAGGTTTTCTTGTAATCTCTTGGCTTAAAAGTGTTGAGCTCATTTCCATTTCGAGTGAAAGTGTGCAATATAATGATTATAAATTTTATCCCATCAGAATACCACGGCTGATTATTTCATAACATATAGCCAGTTAGTAAAATATTCAAGTGTGTGGATAGAAGTGTTGACTGAACATTTTAGATAATGGATATTTTTCTCATTTTCAATCTATCCACTGATTGGTATTTACAATAAAATAGATACATAAATCCGGACTTACATTTGTGAAGGCCTGCATCTTATTTTCTCAATCTGACGTATTTTTTGGGCCTACATAACCGCAGTCATGACTTTCCATAGGTCATTAATCCTTAATGACTCAGGACTGATGTTGGGCTTTCTTCAAATTACTTCCAAGCGTT